AACACAAGCGGCCAGTCCAATCCCATCTTGTTTCAGTTTGGAGCGTCCCAAATCTTCTCTCTCTCTTCCTCCAGCTGTTTTGGCCAGCTCAAGTGTGCTTGGCACACTCCCACTTCAGATTTGGCCAAGCACTGGCTATCACAAACAGAAACTGAACTACTTGAGGAACGATCGCTACGTTGCTATGGAGACAGTCGTGACCACCTTGGAGAAAAACTGACCTGTGAGACGTTCCTATTGGTGGAGCGGCTCGCGTAGCTCCGCCCCCGAGTGGGAGGGGCGTAATTCTATACTAGAATTTGGGTGGAAAATTGATGGAAGAATTCTTAAATGCAGAGGAGAGGAAGTTCACATATTCCAGCTGCCGAGGAACTCCCTTTGTCAATTCGTGCGCGTCTTTGTGTTTATTCATCTATTTAACATCACGTTGTGAGAGCTTTCGGCGTCTGGTTTGGTCTGTTTACTCAGAGGAGTCACTTAGATTTCATACGGGGTTATTTTCCTTGAATCCCTGATCTGAGGCCAGTTCTGAAGCAAAGCCAGCTGTAGTAGACAGCACTGGGCTGGGTCTTGAACTTCATGCACAGTTGGGTCCAAGAACGCATAAACTGCAGGACACTAAATGAATAGGGCTTCTTCTTTGTGCATTCCTCTGACACAGACACAGACACAGACCCAGCCCTGCCTGCAGCGAGGAGGAGGCCGGTAATATGAGCAGATACGCTCGCAATCACTGCTGCTGCTCGAAGCAAAAGTCATTATGTGTGTTTTGAAACGTCCTGTCACAGTCACACTCTCCTTGTGAATAGGCTACATTTAGATCAAACAGCTGCAGAGAGGAGGAGGGATGCCGAAGAGAGATCTATCTATCTGTCATCTATTTATTTAATGACATTTTGAAATTTAAATGTAAACAATTATTTTAAATGTAAAAAATGTATAATAATGTAATATCGTGTGTATATAAAATAAAGAAGAAATAGTTTTATGTGCATGACTCACATTTAAATTGTTTAAAATGTTTTAAAATAAATATTATATAATTATAGATTATAAATATATTAAATATTACATGAATTTAAAATCATATATAATATATTATATAATATATTACCAAGTACTATATTATAAACAGTATTTTATATATATATGTGTGTGTGTGTGTGTGTGTGTGTATGTATATAT